TTCATCCATATCATTCAACAAAGAATAGAAGCTTATTGCGTCTGCATTAAATTTTTCTTGTCAACTCTTGCATCACTAGCGTGAGAAGCATTCACCCCAAAATCAAGATAGATAGCATTTATAACCATTCTAGTATATGGATTTTCTATTCTTCTTTACTAATTTGTTCAAAGGTATCCCTATTTGTTGATGGTTATCCTACTTCTAATTCTTCATGTGAGATCCAACTCATATAATCAAGAATAAACTTTTTATAATAAAGGTGCTCACACATCATCCACATTTAAAAACTATCTATTCTTCCATAAGGGTACAAGGACACTTAATCTTCCCATTACTTACAAAGTATGGTTGAGAATAAACATATCCAATAAATTCCTTTACACCATCATAGAAATTTTGACTAATGTATCTATTTACATCTAAACGAGAATATATCCAATGATGATCTTTGTCTATCATTGCATCATCATAAAGGTTTAAAAAATATAATTCTTAGTATATTGTATTAAGTACATATGTAATAATACTTTATTTAAAGTTTCAAAATATTTTTAAAATTTTACTTTGAGATTATGCTTTTATTGCGGTAACAAAGAAATGTCTATTTCAAGTTCAAATAAAAAGAAAAAGAAATTGCCCATTTCAGTCCAAAGAAAGTAAGCAACAATAATGAATTATTTCAACACAAATTCTTAAACACAAGTATATATGCAATAATATATTATTTAAAGTTAGAGATTGAGATTTTGCTTTCCAACACAAATACACAAATTCTTCAACACAAACACAGAAATGCATATTTCTACTTTAAATAAACAAAAAATGAAAATACTTATTTCAAGCCAAAATATGAAATTTCAACACATATTTAGTCTAATAGCACAAAATTTCAACACAAATTTTTCAACACAAGTATGGTTTAAAGTTAGATATTGAGATTTTATTTTCCAACACAAATACAAAAATTTTTATTTCTAGTTCAACGCAATCACATAAATGCCTATTTCTAGTTTAAATAAACAAAAAAAAAAAAACATTTCTAACCAAACAACAATATTTCAACATAGATTAGTTTGAATACACAAAATTTCAACGTATATTTACATTTTTCAACTTAGTATTTGTGCAAGGAAGCAAGAAGGGCATGATCCACGAATAGAGCAAGACAAAATTTTGGAGAAATGGGGTGGATTGGGAGGCTGATGGTGGTTCACGAATAGGTGGAATCACAGCCGTGTTAAAAGGGTGGATGAGTCTTCACGGGCTAACTGTGAGGAGAATGAGGCACCAACGGCAACAAAGAGAGGAAAGAGGAGAGAAGAGAGGAGAGAAAAAAAGTAAGGGATTTCAAAATCGAGGAAGATAGAAAAAGTGGAATGTGATTTTTTCTTTTAAAGGATTTAGCGATGGATTATTAATGAAACTTTTGTCGGTAATGCAAAATTTTTTCACTTTTAATGATAGATTATTGATGGAATCCATTGATAATTTTGTTTTTTAGAGACAGATTATCAACAAAATTTGTTGGTAATTAAAATTTTTTTCCCTCCCAATTTAATTTGAAAAATATATTTTAAAATATTTTAATCAAATTTTTTTTATTGATGGAAAAAATCTATCGGTAATCCGTCGTTAAAAAATTTACAGACGGATTATAGATGGGTTTTTTTTGTTAATAAATCCTATGCCAATTTCCTACAACAACATCACCTATGAAATATTAATGAATAATTTTCTATTGATAAATTCTATCGGTATTTTGTTAGTAAAAAAAAATCTATTTTTTTTTCAAATTTCTATTGATTAACTGTTGAAAATTCATTGACAATTTTCAATGAAAAAATTTCATCTATGCCATCCATATTATTGAGATTTTTTATAGTGTTAATTTTTTCTAATTAATTAACACGAACACAAAAAACGGACAATACTCTTTTGGGTAGAAACTAATCCATAGCATAGGATTCGAAATTATATTCAAGTTAATAAACAATTCAATGAGAATGCATGCAGGTAACATCAAGATAAGGTAGCACATAAATCAAACAACCCCTAACAAAACTAAAAATAGAGACGAAAAAAACAACCCTTCAATATAGAGAGAAAAATCAATAAAAAAATTGACAATAATTAAATATATTATCAAATAAATTGACAATTGTTTATATCTCAAGTTTTTTTTTTTTTCAAAGACCCATGGGAATTTTAAATAATATTGACAGTTTTTTTATATAAATAATTACTTTGCAATATCTTTTAAATAACTATGTACTCTTGCATTGTCTGTGTATAAAAATAAATGAGACTTGTCTACGAGTTGGTAGAAATTTTAAGCTCAAGCCCAATTTAATCTAGCTTTTGAAAATATTTTATTATTAAATAACTAATTTTTAGTTAATTTTAATTAAAAATATTAAAAAATTAAATTATTTATATAAAATTATTTTAATATTAAATTGAAACTAAATTGACCTAAATGAAAATGAACGAATCTGGCTGAGTTTTGAACAAACATTTTGAGCCATGTATAGCTGCTCATGAATCTTTCTAGAACATAAGCCATTCAACAGCTATCCAATCCAAAAAAATAGTACGTTTTTCATTTGTATGAAAATTGCTCCTATGTCAACAGTAGAGTCCGTTTGAAATACAAAATTCCCTTTTTAACAACGGAAAGTAGCACAAGTGAAAGATATTTTGCACTTAAAGGCCCATATGAACATGTGTAGGGCAAAATTCATAGTCTACAACTCTTTTGTCAATAAACTTGTATTCATGTCCAGAGTCGACTCTTTTAGCAGTTGTCGCACATGATTCCTATAATTCGACTTCACAATGATCAATGGTTCCACATTGAAAACTTGGCTATTAAAAAAAAAAATGTGACAATGAAAAAAGACTTCTATACATAAAAATTTCATAATAAAATCGCAAGGCGCTTTCACCTAACCAAACTCAAATGAAAGTAGTAGACCTTGAATTTGTCGCCAATTAAGCAGCTGAAATTTAATCTACTAGATTTCTACCCTTGCTTCGCTGAGGGCTTTTCTTATGTGTTGATTTCTTTTTTATTTTCATTGGCAGAGAATAATGCAGTGGAGGCATCAGCATAACTTTGCTTTTTTTGTTGCCAGTTAATTGTCACATTAAATTCATCTTAAAATGCTTTCACCGAGCATGGCTCAAAAGGTTCTAAGATAACATGCCACAAATAAATCAAATCAAAATTTATTTCTAAAGGAAAAAGAAAAATATGCTTTCTAAACTTAAATTGAAATAAAATTTCAACTGAATTAAAAAATGTATTAAAAGTAAACAACATTCAGAACTATCTTAACATTTCATCACAAAAATGAAAGAAAAATAATAGAGTTGCATGAAATCAATCTAAACTTCAAGCAATCAACGATTGTGAAACTCTCCTACAATATTATATGCAGTTTCCTATAATCATACCTTAGACAAAAGCTCTGTATCATCCATAGCATGAAGATCCAAAAGCTTAACTCCAAAATCCACCCTAAACTCTTGAGAATAGAACCCATCTGATGTATGGTTATATCCGATCGTGCTTCTTTCTTGAATTTTGGGTAGTTGATGTGTATGGTTCTGACCCAAATTCCTGATTAAAATTGAATTCTCTCGTTAATTTGAATAGCCTCTGCTTCTCTTCTGCAGATTGAGCTCTAGAACCTTTCAATAGTGTAATCGTAGCTTCTCATTATCTTAAAACATATAAACTGTAAACCTATTTAAACATATAAAATAATAACAAGATGTATTTAAAATACAGACAGTTCTTTCAAAAGCAAATAAAAACTAAAATGCTCATGGGAAAAATCATGCCAAATTAATGAGGATAATGAGAAATTACTATATCAAGACATGATTTAAAGCATTTAAATTCATCAAAATTGACCACCTAAAGTAAATTTAAAGCAACTAAAAATATGATTAATCCAATCCAAATTACGTACATCTGAATCGAGCAATGAAAAGGTAATAATTAAAAGCAACAGAAAAGATAAATAAATACTCGTGAAAATTCAAAGCAGTGCGTTGGTTACCTTGCATGAAAGAGAAATTAGAACTTAAAGATTTTTTCGCATACTTCAAGTCCTGCTGCTTAGCACAATTAGAATCAAGGGATTAGCTGTAATGCTCCATCAGTTCTCATTTCATTATTAGTTTAGCTTGTTTGTTATCGAGCAGTTCTAGGTTAAAAAATGAAACTTCATAGCTATCCAAAACAGTAAGCATAAGACAAAACTAAGTTTCACTTCTTTTTTTGTTCACCACAGTTGAAAGCATAGAGCATGATGCTAGTGTCTTGGTGTGTTGTGCTATGAGTTTCTTTATGGAGTCCCTCCTTTTGTTGTTATATCCAATCATGCTTCTTTCTTCAATTTCCCTTTCTCTTTTTCCTCCCCTTTTCTCTCTTCTAATTTTTTTCGGTTGTGATGTCCATAAGCTTTTGCTTTGTTTTTCGATCATTCTCTCCCCTTTTTTTTTTGTTTTCCTTTCTTTTTTCTTTTCTCCTTTCAAATCTAGAAGCCTCTCCCCTTACGACATCTAGAAACTTCGTCTGTCCACTGACCGTAAAACAATATTTTCTCAAATTTACCCTTTAAATTTTTTAATACATTATTAACATATACAATCAAATGCAGTTCCTTGCAGTCTGGAGACTGCTTAGTTTCTATTGTTTTTTTCTTTATCTTTTGCTTTCTATTCATTTTTTGCAAGAAAATTAAAAAACAGTAAAAGCATCAATTAAACCGAGTCTATTATGAATAAAGTTTTAACTTAATTTCAACCATTGAACAACTATAACACATGTTTTTATATTGAGTCAGGACAACTGAAATCCCAGAACAATATAAATAGTAATTACTCTCAAGGCCTTTCTTAAATTCAACAAGCATTTCAGAATTCCAATAAGCTATGGTCTTTTAGAACCCTCATCCGCATATGCTCGGATGGTTTCCACCCTCGCCACCTCCTTGGCCAATGCTGACAGATCCTCCCCAATCCTTCTCCATCTATAACATAGTAATTTCCACAAAGTAATAAATAAAATCACTGCTCTCCATGCAAAAATTCAAAAAACATGCCTCAACTTTCCAACAAAAATAGACAAAATCAATATCAAAATGGAAACTTTTACATTGATTCGAGCCTGAAACAGAGCTTCGAGAACAAATGGAAGATCCTAGATCAATAAATTTCTAATTTACATCATGTTCCACAGTTAAATTGACATTTGAGAACATTGAAATATTGCATGCAACCAAAAGAAACAGTGATATGGCACCTTTCAAGAATGAATTTTCCCTTTTTGTACTTCTTAGTCTTCTCATGTGTAGACTCCTACACTCATTCACACAATTAGCAAAAGGGAAAAATGTTCTATGAAATTAATTCATGCAATTAAGCCTTGTAAAGAAATCAAACCAGCAAAACTCAAAATTGCTAAGCCAGTTTTTACATATTTCCATCCCACAATTGAGCCACACCCAACACAGATTTTATCAAAAACAATGTGCATTTTAATCATCATCATGCGGTATGCTTCCTCTCCTGCTGTGATATTCACATCGTTATGCATTAAGAAAGAAAATACATTGTTTGAACCATTTGTATCTGCAGAATGCATATGATTTAAGTAATGAAACGTGCCCCAAGACTCAAATCCATCATTGGCATTTTGCATTTGGCTACTCGATGGTTATTCTTGTAACAATTACTATGCTTCACTTATAATCTAGATGTTAAACAAACAATATGAAGAATGAAGGCAAATCATAGAAAAGGATGACCGACTTATTGATTATTAGCTATCTGTTTGCCAGTGGGTTGTCTAGAATAGCAACTAGTTGACTGGTTCAAATTGTTGATTTTTTAGTTGTTTATTTAGTAGAAATAAGATGATTTCATTCATTTTTATATGCAAATAAACAGAAAGGAAATAAAAGGACATATCATACCACAATCAAGACCTTACAAATGCATAGCTTTCATTGATTGCAGCAAAGAAAGCATATATATGGTAATATAGTAGAAAAACATGAGCATGATTTTTGAATATAAAAGAATATTTCTAAACAACATTGTAAGTAGGCAAAAATTGACTTTATAGGGTATAGGACAATGAAACACTTACACTTTATCAAAAAAATAAGCCTTTCCATGCTTACAGTGAAAAAACTGAAACACAGGTAAATGATGAGGTTAGTATGTGTCTGTGTTGCTAAGCAATAGCTGACATAATACATGGGACAATGAAGAGCGTGATTATGATGAAGAGATAGATAAGACAGAAAATCCATTTAGATTTTTGAGTAAGGAAAGGGCTATTGACAATATCACCGCACTTTCATATCTCTCATTTTTTTCATCCATCGAGCAACAAAATAGCTTTGCTGTTAGTGTATGCATTATGCAAGAAGCCTCGTATGATGATAATTACGTATAGTCTATGGACATTGGAACCAGTCAAACTGTATCACAATAAAATCAATATTAATAGTCAGGAAAAAGAGGGTAAGGTGGTTTTAAAACATATAACAAGAATGTTCAAACTAAAATGATAGACTGATGTACAAATCACTTCTTCTACTTCTTCCTTTTGTCTCAATTTTTTTATGTTTCAAATTTACAATATCAAACAACATATTAGCCATAAAACCGAATAACCCCCAATTCAACCAGTCAATGTCCATTTAGGAATTGATACAAAATCAAAATAGAAAGGAAGTTATATAGTACTTAGTAGTGACTTATTTTCTAGCACCAACTAAAAGCCTCCATACAATTGAAAGAGGCAATCATTCTCAATGAGACAGTCGTGATGATTCTTAGACTTTCTCTCATCCCAATGACTTCTTCATCCATCAAAGTTGTAAGTAAATGTTAATTCCAAAGTAACATCCATAATTGCAAAAAAAAAAAAAATTACAATTGAATATTATGTGCAACGTTTCTGCTGTATTTCTATTATCAAGGGGAAATACCATGACAAATGGAATCCCTCAGAAAAACTTCAACAACCAAACCTAAAGAAGAATCAATCTGTTTCAGTTAAATCCGATGATGGGTTCAATCATTTTCATTATTTTTGATCCATTAGTCACATATTTACAAATTTTAGATAAGCCAACAAAACTTCACGAAGGAACCAAGGATACAAAATAACCCAAAAAAGAAACTAATGTATTTCACAAAGCACGCAACAATGTAGAAAGAAACACGTGAAAGAAGAAAAAAATGTGGAGACAGATCATTTGATTTTGTTAGCAAAAAGAAGAACCTTAGAAATAATGTCATCAAGCAGAGCACGATGGATATGGCAGTGCTTGCAACCATAAATGCTTTCTTCAAGAGTGATTACAAATAGCCTTCCCATTTTTTTTCTTTTCTTTTTTCCTTCTTTATCCAAGTATCAATCTATCTAGAAAACCTTAAAAAAAAATTTTAAAAATAAAAAAAAAATTCAGATAACTGTTTTGTTCCTTTAAATTCTTTTTGTGAGGATGATTGTGCAAAGATGGTTTCAGGTTAAACGTTCTGGTTCTTGACTCTATGATTCCTTATTTTGCATGTGTCTCCAAGCTCTGTAGGACAACAATTTGTTTGTATCCGTTGTAATTCATTAACAAAGTAAGATCAGAAAAATTCAACAATTGGATGTTTGGTAAAGTAGACATATACGGTTTAATTGGGAAAAGATTCAAGGCTTCAGCTACCATCAATAACCCTTTTTTTGAGAACATAACGTTGAATGAAAATAAAAGATCGATTAATGAAAAGGCTGAAAGAAAAAAGGCAAATTAACTCATATGGTTTAGATTACTAAAGAGCGTAATAATCAGACTCTACATGGGGCATACAGCTAAATTTACACAAATCTATTTAATTCAACCATAATATATATATATTATATATATTAATATTAATTAAAAAAAAACTTCAAATCAAAATTGAGATTAATTAAACACATCACTATTCTATTCTCCTACAATTTATTTATAAATTATATGTAGTTAGGATATGAACAGTGTATATACTATCTAAGGAAACCAAAAGCTTAAAAGTTTCAATCATATTTTTATAGAAACATATAATCTTCGATTAAGCAATTAATATTCCCATTTCAAATCAGTTACAATCTAAAGTTGAATTGAAATAAACCTTTTTTTTTTCTTATCTGAATGAAGACCAGTATAATTTTGCTTACACAAAATTAGTTAACCAAGTATTATCACATTATGCTGATGACTATCAAAATCTGACTTCTTAACAGCCACTCGATGGGCATGTCTATCAAAACGATTACTATTAAACCATTATTTATAAATGTTTATCAGAAATAATCAAAAAATAAAGTACTTTATCTGAATGCAACCATTTCTAGGAAAACTATATCCACCTGCAAGAAGAGAAAATCAGGATTCCCTCCAAAGTTGTGGTCATCTGCAGGGATCCATTAGAGGTAAAGACAAGCATTCAACTACTCAAATTGCTTTCTTGGGTTGGGCTGCTTAAACTGAATGTTGCTGGCCATTACTTATAAGTAACTTATAAATTTATATATATGTCAACAATTTTCAAACACCAAACACCATAAAAAACTCATGCATTCATAAAAAAAAATACAAACAAAGATAATAGTGATATCCAGCAAAATCTCTATCAAAACATGCAAAGAAAAAAGCTCCATAAACACATGCATATAGGCTGATGCATAAAAACTCACTGTGCATCTTTAATCACAACTCTTAGCCTAACTTCATCAATGCAAAATAAATCAACAAACATGTAAAAAAATCATTATTTTTTGCATGTTTTTCGCCATTTTCAAAGTATCATAATTCATAGTAAAAAAAATTCACCTAGCAGAAAAAAAAAACTAATTAAACCCCAATTGATTAAGAACGCAAACCCCAAAATCCCACTAAACCAATCAATACCCAACTAATTTTTCTACAAATTAAACAAATCTAAACAATACCCAGATGCCAAAACCAAGCATTTAGATAGAAAACCACAAAAAATTTTAAGAAAAGGACATCCCTACATTACTTTCTTTCCAAACTTCGTACACACATTTTTCCATGAGAGAAATTCCAATACCTCCTCTTCCTTTCTCATAGCTTTATTGTATTACGTTGGAACGGAGTCGAAGATTTGAAACTTCTACGGGATTTTCATTTTATTTAAAAAAAAAAATCACAAAACCTCTTCTCGCAAAACCCTTCTCCACCACACTGAAAATAATACTCAATCGTGAGTGAGGGATTTTTAGAAGGAAATGGAAAAGGGAATGCTTTGAAGTTTTTTGGAGAAGACGCTTCCGAAGAAGAAGAAAGACACCAATAACCAAGAAAGATATGGAAAAGGAAATGCTTAGAAGCTTCTGGAGGAAGATTCTGGAGAAGAAGAAAGACGTAAATTACATTACATTGCTGAGTTGTCCCCATTAAAACCAATTGGGGACAGCTTTTATATATCTTTATGGATGTTCTCATTCAAACGACACAATTGTGTCATCCTCCTCACCTTAATTAACCATGATAAAAACCCAAAAAAAAAAAAAAAATTCTGGGCAAATTCCTTCTCATTCTCCACTTAATTTCCCACTGCATTAATTCTCAAAATCTATTACGATTTTAGCACAAAAAAAAAATTTATTACGATTTGATTTTTAATCAATTTGAAAGTGGGTTTAGAATTTTGCAGATAAGTACCCTAAGAGCATTTTTTTAATATTAGTTAAGATTCTATTTATAGTAATTTAGTTTTTAATGAATAGAGTAGTTGACAACTATTGTTTTAAAGTTCCATATGTTAAAAAATTAATTACTTTATATAGTAACTTTAAAGGGTACTTGTTAGTTAAACCCTTGTAGCAATTAATTATCTTTAAGGAAGACATACTTGTGTGTGTGATTTCCTAAGTTCTTTGGAGTTTTGATAAGGAGAAACTTAAAAAATATAACATCTTCATATTATGGACAAAGGCAAAATTTTCTAGATTTTGGTCGATAAGACTAAGACAGCCTAGTTTAAGTAGACCGGCCAAATGTTTCTTAGCAATTTCTTTCGCACAATAATTCAATGTTGAATTTTAATGGCATTTGTTTTTAGTGATAACTTTTTTTGGACAATGGTAGGATTGTAACAAAAACTTTTGAATGGACCAATTAGAATTAAAAAAAAAAGTTAATGTGATGAATAATTTTTAAATTATAATAAAATATTGAATGTAGTATTTGAATTTAAAAAAATTTTAATGCAGTATCCGAATTATAAATTTATTAATTAATATAATATCTATCTGTAAAATAATTAATTTAAAATGATGATACGTAATGAATAAATAATTTTTTGATTATCATATTAATTAATATATTTATAATTTAAATATCATATTAGATTTTTTTATAATATATAAATCATTTGTAACATTAACCTAAAAAAATAATAATTTAAAGACCTTTCATGATATTAAAAAGAAAAAACAAACGAGTGCCAATGGTGTTGAATTTTTTTTTAAGTCTTGACTTTATTTGTTTCGATTTCGGATGAACAAAATAAAAATTACATTAATTATTGTTCATTTTTTTACCGTTAAAACTTAAAAGGTACTCGAATGAACATATTTTCGTCTTTAATAACTATTCTTTCAATGATGTGATGTTGTCTTGACTACACTACGTATACAATATACACAAAATACAAAGAGGACTATCCAATTTTGTATTAAACTGATTAAGTTTTATATTATTTCATTTTTTTATATAATGTACTTTGTAATATTATTTGCAATGTTTCTGGGGTCACGATCAGGATTTGGATCATGCTTCTTTTTTGGATTCATCATATTCCTATTCCTTATTTGTCTAATTTTGTTCTTCATTTTAAGAATTCAGGTTTTAATTTCTTGATTTGGTTACTCAAAACAAAGACAATATTTATATTTTATATACTATAATGGGATGTTTGGTTGGGAAGAATTGCAATTTCGTCCCCCATTGTTTTCATGACTCTTTTTTATCATTGTTTGGTCCATTTTTTCAGTAAAGAATAACTATTCCATGAAATGTCAATTCCTTAAAAACAAAAAATAGCAATTCTTTACTCTCCTTTAAGAATTGCATTTCCAATTCATCATAAATTGAAAATAATATTTATTGGATAATTTTGTCTTTATATATTTAATTAATTTTAATTTTGTCCATACATATTTAATTAGATAATTAATTCATATTAATTAATATTAATTTAATATAATTAAATAATAATTAAATATTATTACAATATTATTAAATTTATTTAATTAATATTTATTATTATTAAATTAATATTTTATATACTATAATGGTCATCAAAGTGAGGTTAGCTAAGATTTGAAGTCAATTCTATTAACGTAGAAATTGAAAAAAGCCCAAAAGAAAATCGAGATGGCTGAGCTTAGCCAAAGCTTTTTTTCTCTTTTTTTGAATAGTTTTTTTTTCATCTTTTTAATTTTCTAATAAAGAATGGTTTTAGGAATTAGCAATTTAATAAGATTCATTGGTATAAGAATTGTTTATGTCGAGTTGATCTTGAAGGATAAAATTTTGAAATCATAAGAGAGAATAAAATATAGCAATTAATAATAAAGGTTGAGAGTGATTTCAACGTTTATGCTTTGACGCTCAAGTTAGTGGTCGATTAAGAAATAGGAAGGAAAAAACAAAGAATATGAAGAGGTAAGATGCTTGAAAAGTACTTTGATGGTACTATTTATACTTGTAAGATAGAGGTTGCAGGTAGTTTAGACTATCTAAGGTTAGCCTTAATGGTTAGGGGTGACCTAGTAGGTCTGAGCTAATGTGGTAGTTGACTCTTCATTTAAGGCATGCCAAGTTAGCACTTTGAGGGTCTAACATGTGGACTCAATGAAGTGGCTGAGCTAATGTGGACTCATGAATTCAGGTCAACCTGACACGTCAATTCGATCGAAAAGTCCAAAATGCCTTTAGTTATCTGCTAACTTATACTAATGGGAGAAAAATCCTTTTATCCTTTGAACTTAAAAATACCTTTAACATTCTATCTCTTGCTGAGTAATGGGAGGTATCTGGCTAACAACCTTAAATGAGACCAATTTGATCCATCCTTGGTAAGACTGAACTAGTACTTGAGTGTGAGCTCTAAAAACTTTTATATTGATGATTATTTTGACCTCATTTAACTGAGGCGGTGAGTGGCAAATGAGGACAACACTGGTTAGTCTCGTAGTGGTGTTACCGACGTGGGTTAGTGTGGTTGACATCGTATTTTGCGATATTCATAATTCACTAATCATCTCGTTATCTCGATGGTTGACATGAGTCTTTGTGATTTTTCTTTCATATTGAG